ATAAATATATATTTTTAAATATAAAAAAAAATAAAAAAAATTTATATATATATTTTTATATATTTTTATTTTTATATTTATAAATTTTATATTTATATATATATATATATATATATATATATATATATATATATATATATATATATATATATATATATATATATATATATATATATATATATATATATATATATATATATATATATATATATATATATATATATATATATATATATATATATATATATATATATATATATATATATATATATATATATATATGAAGTAGATTTTTTAAGAGAAGAAGTTGCTAATTATCTTGGGTTGTGCAGTGTGAGTGGAAGCGTTTTCGGAGGAAAGATAGTGAATTGAAGGATGCTGCTATAAATCCGCACCACCACCTTAAAGTCGTCAAGTTTTCTGGATATCGTTGTCAGACGAGCGATCTTGAATTCATCCAGTACATTTTGCTGAATTGTCTTGTGCTCGACAAATTGATAATCAAACCCTTTGCTTCTAAGAATGATACGATAGAGATGGAACAAACTGCAAGAAAAAACACAAAGCATCAGCTTGAATCACGAGTGCCTCCGCACATTGAACTGATTATTCTCTAAGTTATTAGGTTAATAGTGTGATTTGTTCTCGTTTTCTTTTTTCTTTTTCTTTTTTTGGATTTTAATTAGATAATATATTGTATTTTATTATTGAATTTTTTTTGATAAATATTTTTTTTTATTATTGAATTTAACTTAAACTAATAAGTTATCTCTCATCGGATTTTAGTTTTTCTCACTTTCACTGTCGATATATTTCATGTCTAGTTAGAGTTAATATGTTTTTGTTTATGGTGGACTGCAACGGGAGCCACTTTTAGATGAGAGTGAATTCTTATAGGGGGTGTTTAATGCAGGTGGTTTTTTTGTTGTTGCAGGCGAAAATATTTATAATTATCCCGCCAAATATTCTAGACACTCTCTCCTTTCTCTCTTCTCTTTCTCACCTTCTATCTCTACTCTTTTTCCACTCCTTCAAACAAACCGCCGGAATTGTCCCGAATCAATTGAAATCGAAGATAAATTTTACACCAAATTCATCCTCTTGTCTTGTATATTAAGCAACGGAAAAGAAATAAAAACTTGGCAACTTTGGCGAGTCTAGATCCAGCCGAACTCACTATTTTTTTGGAGTTCAACTAGAACTAGCCGAATACACTGAGTTCGGCTAGATCTAGTTGAACTCAAGGGGTTTTTTTTTTTTTTAATTCGAAATGTCAAAAAAAAAAATTGAACTTCAATTCGTCTACAGAAAGTTGAACTCAACCCTTCTAGTCTGACTTGCTTCGGTTGAACTGATATGTTATATTTTTTTTTTTCTAAAATCTAAAAACTAGTAATTAATTGTTTGAGATATTGTATAACTTAAAAAAAGAATTAGTTGAACTCATTCCCTTGACATTAATAGTTCGTTTATTCGAAAAAAAATTAAAAATTAATAATTCGGTTATTCGAAATATTTAAAAAGCCTATGAATTAATTAGTTTCAGTTAACTTTTTTTTTTTCTTTTCGAAATGTGATAATGATATGTGATATTTATTTTTTAATTGTTTCCAACATTTAGTAATGAATTGTTCAGGATATTGTATAACTTATTAAAAAATATTGAACTCGTCCACTTTCAATTAAGGAGTTTTTGTGCATAGGTCCATAATCAAGCATCTTTATTATTCTATGTTTGGGGTTATATCTCTTTCACCAATAAGCTCATCCATTTAATATTTACTAGTATTCACCCGTGCGATGCACGGGGCGACATATTTTTGACTGAAAATACATGTCTCAAAAATAAATTTAAGCAGATAACAATTATTACGGTCGCTGAATGTAATCGACCAACGATAATAAAAATATGCTATAAGTGTCATGGTTTTCATAGTTATAATATAAGAATACTATTAAAATATTAGTATATCGTCAAAAATAAATCTTAAAGATAATAAGAACTGCACCGAGCACCATAGGGAAATGACTAAAAATAACATCGCACCGGGGAAAATATATAGATAAGAAACACATGCAAAAGAATAAGTTCTTTAAAAATAAAATAAAAAACATGTTACATGAATAAATGATAAATATAAAAATATTTTCTACCTTCAAATTCGATGAAATACTTCCTGGTACACGACATTTCTAGTAACATTGGTGAGTTCACCCGAATCCGACTTGATGAATATCTTAATGTCACCTCTGCTCTTAACTCTGGACACTGCAACATATAGTTGACCATGGCTGAAGACAGGCCTAGGAAGATACAAACCAACATGCGAAAGAGTTTGGCCTTGGCTTTTATTTATCGTCATTGCAAAAGAAACAATCAACGGAAATTGTCCTATGAAATTTAATTGGCAGTCCGGGGTTAGATGGTATTAAAGTCATCCGAGGAATGAACACCATGTCACCGATATTTTTTCCGGAAAGAATTTTGCAACTCAGAACGTGAATGCCAGTTCTAATAATTTCAAGTCTCGTACCGTTGCACAATCCTCTAGCTTGATCGATGTTTCTTATTAGCATAACGGGTGCACCAACCTTGATCCTCAACGCATGAGAAGGAACTCCGGAGCATCTTATTTTGTTGAGGAATTCAGTCGAATAAATTTCTGCATTATCCTCCGTTGTGTGCTCGTCCCTACACATACTATCTGAGCTCAGGTACACCTTCTCCTCTCCTGGAAGGAGAGACATTAAGTGATCGTTCACAGACTCGACGCATTCATTAGTTGGTGCCAGAATTGCCCTCCCTTGAAAATAATCTCGATCGTACATGTTACTCAACAAATCCGGATAAACAAATTCGAGTAGGTCTCTGAATGAATCTTCTGAATCACCAATCAACATGTCATCTGGAATCTCTATCGAAGCTTCACCATCATTGTCTTCTCCAACATCCCCATTACCAACATTCAGTATCCAGTCTCCAAATTCTTTTATCTCATCCACATTAGATGGAGAAGAACATGACTGCAATCTCATGTTCTTAGTCAACTTCATGACACGACAGAAATTCCACAACGGAGAGGAGTTTATCGTAGCATGTACTATGTCCTGCCTTGATGCTTTCAGCACAACTGGTAAAATCTGCCTAAAATCACCTCCAAGAACAACCACCTTACCACCAAAGGGTTTGTCACCCTGTAATATTGACTTCATTGTCTTGTCAAGGGCTTCAAAACAGTATCTATGCATCATAGGAGCCTCGTCCCTTATAATAAGCTTTGCCCTTATGAGCAACTCTGCCTGTGGACTTTGTTGCGATATGCTGCAGGTGGAACTCTCATGTACATTTATGGGTAGTCCGAATCGAGAATGAGCTGTTCTTCCACCGGGGAGCAATAATGATGCTATACCACTCGATGCAACGTTAATTACAATCTCTCCCTTCGAACGAACTGCACCCGAAAGAGTTTTCCATAGAAACGTCTTTCCCGTTCCACCATGGCCATATAGAAAGAACATTCCACCACTGTCATTGGTTACTGCATCCATGACTACATCATAAACCTTTCTTTGCTCATCTGTAATGGAAGCAAGACACTGTTGAAGTTCTCTACCCATTTCAAACCGGTCGTAATCCAGTTCATCTAACACCAATATGTTTTCTGTGTCCTCATATGAGTATTCGATTGGAACTGGCATATGCGTGTAATTTTGCAGGCTTTTACCATTGCTTTGCAATATTTTTTTCTATTTCGGTGAGAGTATAGTTCTTCAAGCTTTCATCCGATATATGTAAATCTTCAACAATAAAAAAATGGATAAATTATGTGCATCTAGTTGAAATCGTACAGAGACAATATTAAAAGAATGATTAATAAGTAAAATCTAATTGAATACAATGCCATACAAATTACCATACCTGGATTTTTATGAAGACGTTGTTGTTTGTAAGCAATACCATCAGCCAAATCCAACCAACAACTTTGCCAAACATGTTCGGGCCGACTTAAGCTATTGGAAAGCAGCATAACCGCAAATAACCTTCTTATATAATCCCACGATGCCCAAGTATTCACTTCTTTTATTGCATCTATGTATTCTTTGTCGTCATCTAGCAAACCCAACACATAACATGCATCCTTGAACGTAGGGTAGACGATGTCAAAAACTTTTCTGATGTCCTCGTAGCACGTGCATCCCCTTTGAATGTTAAGTAGCAACCTAAGGTAATAGTCTTCCCCCTTTCCAGGGGGGAACATTCGCAATCCTACCGATAGAAAATCCTTTTTTCCTTGGCAGCCAAGTTCGAGAATCCTCTTTATACACAAATTGTTGTGGAAAATCTCCATACCTCAAGTCCCTTGCATGTGGATAGTTCTTGTTGGCCTCAAACCACGCAAGGAACATAGTTTGCTTGGCAGATGGCCTATCCAACACACTTTGTAACGACTGGTTTTCATTGAAGACAATTGGCTGATGATCGGGGAGATGAAAGCTTAGCCTAATTACGGACGGGTCTCTGTAATGAATATCAAAGTTAAACAACCTCCACATTGCCTCACACGCCGAAAGATATCTGCAGTCGTACTACATCTTTATCTCATCACGAATCTCAGCACCGCCATCTGTATTGCGTGTCTCATAAAATGCCGTTGTGACTCGGTCATGCCCCTTGTTTACGTATTTGAACAGGTATTTAATTGACTTGTTTTGGTTTCATAGCTCGATATTAATGTGAGCTCGGTATTTACTCAACAATATACGATTGTAGGGGACCACAAACCCATTATCAAGAGTAGTCTTCTTCTTCGTAACTGGTCTGCCATCTTCCCTTCTCCTATACACTGTAAACCCATCTGCATCTGATTCAGTGCGCTGCACAAACGGCTTTGGAAATCGCTTCGTGCAAACTCTATCTTTCATACACGGAGATTTCAAATTCGCCTGACCGCACGGTCCATGTATCATATACTTCTCCACCAACTGGTACATCTTTCTGTCGTTTTCTTCGTCAGGAATTTCAGCACATATGATCCTGTCAATTTCTTCTGGATTCTTGGGCTTGTCGTCATTATGCAACCACAATAAAATATGTGCATGCGGTAGACCTCGTTTCTGAAATTCTATTGTGCATACATCTGCATAAAAAATGTAAACATACGGTATTAAAAATTATGAATTAATTTAGTTAATGAAGCAAAAAGTAGTTAAACTCGCACATGACTAAATTATCTAATTTATATAAACGTATTAAATGTTTAATTATAAATGGATATCTAATTAAATACTCACATGCTCTAATACGTCCGAATATACGGTCCTTCTTGATTTCCGTCATCATACTATCGAGCTTCATTTTGAACACACGACACAAAATGTCTGGCCGATCCTCCGCTCTGAGATTTGTATCTTTTAACACCCTTTGTATTTCTGGCCATTGGGGATTGCATGTGATGGTGATGAAGAGGGTTGGAAATCCAATCCAGTTATATATTTGAAGAGCATCAACGAAGTTGTTAAACATATACCTTGGACCTGTGGTGAACGACCCTGGAATTATAATGCGTTGTCCAACCGGTTTACCCTCAGTGTATCCTTTAAAAATATTTTCTTCGATACCCTTGTACATGTCAACCCTAAGTTGATCCTGATTGAACCTTATGAAATTCAACCTCTGTGACTCAACCATCGAAAATCCATCAACACAGAACTACTGAAATAACTTATTGGAATGCAAAAATAACGAATGTTCTCCATGCCGTTTCAGAATTAGGTATGCAAAGAATTCTCGCATGCTTACCTTCTTTCGTTTTCTATTATCAGCAAATGGAGATTCTCTCAAACTGATATCGTCTTGATAACCATCTTCACCGTAAGGAAATAAAAGAGGATACTGTAGAGGCAAGTAAAGAGGATGGAGCTCACTGATTCATTGAAGCTTATTTGAGCGCGTCTCAACTACAATATCCCTAACACCCTCTTGTGTGTCAAAGTCACCAACGATCAAGCCTGCTATTTTACTTGCGTTAGGAAGATTGTACGTCCTGCCATCAGTATTGCGACTCTTTACCAATCTGAGTTTTACTCCTTGATGGCCATCATTGGAAAAACGATCTCGAACAGCACGGTAATGCTGTGCAAGTACATTGTTACCGTCGATCATATCTTTCAACGATGCAACGATGGCTGGGTCAAGATTGTTAGATTGATTTTCGGATCTGTCAAATTAAAAATAATGTAATTATAATTTGTAAGCTCTATATTCCTTAGAACAGGAATATAATTCCGAAAAATTTACATGACGGCATCAATTCGATTCTGAATCTCATTTTCTGTGTCGAAAATGTAAAGTTGGGCAAACTTAGGCCTAATGCCTTCTTCCGGCAATAAACTGCCTAGTAGATGGTAATTCTGTCCGTTGAACAGAAATGTGTATGGACCAGATCCGTTATTAATAGATGTCTGCACTTTTCCACCAAGCGACGTGAAAGAGAATATCATATTATACGATCGTACGTTCTCTTGGAAATGTTTGCTCCTCCGATCAGTGCAAACACTAAATTGTTAAGTGTAGGAGGTGCATCTTTTATTTTTGGGAGCTGGACTTTCGCGGACATACAACATAAGCCAAATTTGGGCCTGGATGTTTGTCTATGCTTGTCAATTCTTTCACCGTACCACATCATTGAACCACAAAAAGGACATTCATACGTCTGGTCTCCAAGATCTTCATAATCTATCCAAAATTAATTAAATAATATTATTCATTTAAAATAATGTAATGAATTTATATAATTAGTAATGTTAAGATTAAAAGTTGTTAGATTAAAACGATATTTACCAGTATTGTCAACTGCATCGTCACTATTCTCATCGTTGGAAGCATATTCATAATCTACATTTATGAACAAAAAAATATCATTACAGTAGAAAAATATACTGACAAATAACGCATAGCAATGAGATACGTTATGAGATGATGACAAAGATAATTACCTCCGCTGTCGGAAGAATTGTCTCTTAACGTCTGTAAATCCTCATCTACCAACATAGCGGGTACTGATGTCATATCTGATAAGTGTTCGTTTTGCACGATTTTTGCTTATCAAATCTTCGAGTTTTGGTCTTCGTTCGTCCGAGTTTCGGCTTTATTTGTGTATATTATTGCGTTTCTTGTTTTATTTCCTTTTTTAGGTTTTGTTAGCTTTTGTTGCCAAGTCGAAGCCATTTGGAAGCGAAACCGATTTTTTTCAAGCCGAGAAAGTGGTCATTAAGACCCAGATCGCGATCCAGGAAAGCCGGATCGCGATCTGGGGGCAAATTCCAGTAGTGTGCAAAGTTCAGACCCAGATCGCGATCCAGGAAAGTCGGATCGCGATCTGGTGACAAATTCCAGTGGCAGACTAGATTCAGACCCAGATCGCGATCCGCACTTCCTGGATCGCGATCTGGGAGGCGGTTCGCGTTTTTTTAAAGAAGCCAGATCGCGATCTGGCTTTATTGGATCGCGATCTGGCGCGTTTTTCAAGGCTAGATATTTTAAATTGCAAAGCTTCTTGAGGAAGCTTTGCAATTTACTATAAATAGAAGCAAGCCCTCACTCTTCATTCTTCTTCGACTTTTTACGGTTTTCGACGGTTCTTCGCGGGAATCATCAACGGGGGTTCCGACTTGGGTTTTTCTTACGCAATTTCTTTACGTTTTGTTCTTCATTTCCTTTGTACATTCTTTTGATACTATGTTTGTTATGAACTAAGAACATTTTCTTCTAGGGTAATGAAGCCTTGTATATATTGATTTCGATCGTCATTTCTACTTTCTAATTGTCGTGTTTTGATTTCGTTTATGTTTTCCTGTATTAAATGCTTCTGATTGTGTTGATCAGCTCTCAGACTGATATTAAATAGGAATGAACTCGAGAGAGGATTTCTTGTTTGAAGTTAGGAAAACATAGCCCGGGGTGTGGAAACGGAGACGTGATGCACTTCGGGTAGCCCTTAAGGACTTGACCTAAATGCTCTCTTAATAGCAGGTTCTGAACGGAGACGTCGGACCTGTGGGTAGACTCTAGCTACACTGGAGACGGGGGTTAGAGTATATTAGCGTCTGGGTTAACGAATAGGAACGTGATTTTAGATGGTGGATTTGTCGATCGTTGTTGATTATACCTAGGTGGATTTGGCCCTAGAAGTCCCTTTTAAATCGAAGTCCCCCGCGTTGAGTTGTCGTTACTTTATTTTACGTACATTTTATATTTGCATGTTTACGTTCTTGCATGCTTTTAAATTAGGGTTTCTCACCAATCCACTTATTTACGATCGGCTAGATAATATAACGATAATATAATTACACTACTCAGCATTTGAATCTACAAGGTCCCTGTGGATCGATATCCGGAACCACTGTTCTGCAAAATGCGATACCGTATACTTGCGGTAATTTATACGTGAGGAAAACGCGTATCAATATCCAACATACGTGTTACAGAGTCAATTGTTTTATGACTCCTAGTCATCTTCTTTCCATTCCGCACGGTACAACTAACATAATAGTAAGCATTCAGCTTCTATAAAAATGAAAGAAAAAACTGGATTATTGTCTACATGTATTGCACACTTAATCATTTAATAAGACATAAAATTAGTCCTAGAAAAGAAGATCGCATCTTTTATTTGATTCATAATAAGATTTTGTAACTTGTAAATGATCTTCACACGATGTAGATACACCATTGCGACAGTACTCAACGTCATCTGTTGTAATAACAACATAACTTCTTTATTATAAAATTCATTTATTTATAATTATTTAGCAATAATTGTACAAAGATAACAGTATTAACGTCTAACATAGCATCGACACCACAATTACTCCACATTTAATTAATGCCACTTATTTTTTATTGCTAAAAAAAAATACTTGATATAATACATTTCTTTTTCTTAGTCAATTTTTCTGTATATGTTGGAAATGATTTTTTTCGTACACTATTGACAGCATCAATTGAAGGATATTGGAAGAACAAAATTTAGTTAGTTATGACCTATACGAAATAATGACGGTAAAAAAATACTATAAGATCGAGCAGTTTGTGATATTCGTATTTAAAGTTAAATTAAATACTAACCAATTGAACGATTAGTTGTAGTATAACTCGATTGGGTTTGATCCATGTTCACTCGATTTGAAGGATCACCTAGCAATTTTGTTTGTTTAGGAATAATACATTTATCCTTTTCTTTTACAACATGTTCCAACTATGAGTGCGAACTTCCATATACTGTGGTATACACACTAAAACCATAGATATTAATTATATGTGGAAATATATATATATATATATATATATATATATATATATATATATATCTTGTGTGTGGGGTATGACAAAATGATAATACTTACTGAAACACGTGGATTTCCACATTTTGTTTTTTACTTTCTTATTTTCTAAACTAAATTTTAGTTACGGAATTAATAGTGCTTAGTGGGTTAAGTATAGTACTTAGTGGGTTAAGTATAGTGCTTAGTGGGCTAAGTATAATACTTAGTGGGTTAAGTAGTGCTTAGTGGATTTAATTGTGGATTTTATTCTAACTTCCTAACTAACCCACTAACCCATTTTCTTGAGTGCTCTTGTGGTTGGTTTTCTTGTAGATCATGGGCTGAGGAGTGGAAGCTTGAAATGTCTATAAATACCGATTTCAATACTCAATGATTTTTATCGATTCTACGAAATAAAAAACCGAGAGCTGAAAAGAATACATGAGTGCTGTAGAGTGGTTTTAGAATCGGTCGTTTGTACTCCTCATGAGTACATTCTTTACGTACTTTTCATAAGTACATTCTTTGTAGTCTAGATTGTTTAGTATATATGTTTCTAGACTTGGTTGTAAGAATGATCAAGATAGTGATTCATTCATAAGTTCTTTACGTACTCCTCACGAGTACATCTTTGAAATCTAGAATTTTTAATATTTTCTTTTTGTATCTAGATTTGAATGTAAGAATAATCATGAGAATGATTCATTCATAAGGAAGAAGTTTTCGCACCTCTTCTGTTTGTATTCTTGGAATACTGATTTTAATATATTTTTCCGTCCTGTAAAGGGCAAGTTCACAAGTCTTTACTTGTGAACATCTTTAATTCTGAGTATTGTTCTTTTATCTTTATATTTCCGCTGCATGTTTGTTCAAGTGTCATAACACTTAAGATAACACCTCTGTATTAAACGAATTCGGGACCATAAATTCTTTCAATTGGCATCAAGAGCCAACACTTGACGTATACTAAGTGTTTGTTCCTATTTTTTACAGAAACGAATTCGTGATGGATACTCAGATGACTGCTTCTATGCGACCTCCTGTACTTGATGGCACAAACTACACCTACTGGAAAGTCAAGATGAGGGCGTACATCAAAGCCATTGATGAGAGAGCCTGGAGATCTATTCTCACTGGATGGAAGCCACCAACTATCACAGACATGGACGGGGATGTGTTTCCAACTCCCGAATTACGGTGGACACCAGATGATCTTGCAAATGCTAACCAAAATTCAAAGGCTTTAAATGCAATTTTCAATTCAGTAGATTTAACAATGTTTAAATTAATCCCTGTATGCACTTCTGCGAAGGATGCTTGGGAAGTTCTTCAGCTACATTGTGGTCCCTTGAGCAACGAGACACTGGTGAATAAGGTATTGAGAACTCTTCCAGAAAGGTTCAGCATGACGGTTACTGCTATTGAGGAGGCTAAAGATACATCATCTCTACGGCTGGACGAATTAATTGGTAGTCTAAAGTTCAGAGAGATGAACCTCGAAGATCAAAGAAAGGAGAAAGGAAAGGCTATCTCAAATGCACTCCAGGCAGAATTAGAAAAGGAAGACGCTGCTCTAGAATATGATGATGATGCAGAAGAATGTCTCAACAATGTGGCATTTCAGATTCAGAAATTCAATAGGGCGTACAGACGAAGTGGAATCAAGCCCAGACAGTTATTCCCAGAAGGCTCTCCACAAAATCGACAAACTCAGCCCCGGAACAGATCTATTCCACAGAGAACATTTCCTCAAACACCTTCTCAAAACACTTTAAAAAATTCTTCATTTATTCGTTCAAATTCTGAACCACCTAACTTGGATCATATTAAATGCAGGGCCTGTTCAGGATTTGGACATTATGCTAATGAATGTGCAAATACCTTGAGAAGAAGAGGAATGAGTTTGATTTGTGCTGTCAGTGATGAGGAGGAAGAACAACCTGAACAGACAGAGGAACAACAATCCTCTAAACAAGCTCTTTCTGTCAGATATCTCACTGGAAGTGCCTCTGAAACAGAATCACAAGGAGTTCCTCTGGATGCTGCAACACTTTCTGAAACACTTTCAGTAACTGAAATTTCTGAGTTTAATACTGATCATTATACATGTTTAAACTCTATTTCCTTGAATGCAGCAGAATCCAGTAATGAAGCAGTTAGTGATGAAGAAGAAATGT